GGCACCTTGGTTCACTTTCAGGGTCTAAAGAAGTGAGGGGAGGAGAAATGGAGGGGCCAGTGTCAAAGGCTCCGAGAGAGTTTTGAGAACAGAGAAGGATTAATGGCTGCAAAGAGTTCTGAGAGCTGTTTCCAGTGGAATAATAGGATAGAAACAGATATCAGAGTTTAAGGGGAGAGAGAAAAAGCTTGCGCATGTGCAGTCTGTTGAAAAATGAGTGAGGCTGAGAGGGAGGCAGGAGGGGAAAAGCCCACTGCTAACATTTGCAGAGCCTATACAAGAAAACAAATACAGACCCACATACTACATAGCTCAATATTTAAAAACTAAACAAGATACGTTTTATCTTCCTACTGTGATGCATAGACCATCATCAGGACCCAGGAGGGCAGGTTTGAATTTCAAATTCTCAGAGGCCTTGCTGCTCTACTGGGGAACATGAGGGCTCAGGGAAAGCTGGTGAGGGACTGAGGCCTGCCCCCTTTTTCTTGCCACCTCTGTCTCCATCACACAAGCAGCTACCCTAGGCTGCTCCTTCATCTTAGGGGGGCAGCACAGTTCACGGTTAGGAAATTGGACCAAGGGAAAGGTCCTAAGCAGCCCCTGTAAGTGGCCTGGGGCCATTGGGCAGGGAGCTCAGGAATACTCACAGCACAGTCTAAAGGGAGGGGTTAGGGCCTCCCCCAGAGGGGGGAGCACGTCCTGAGGAAGGCCACAGCAGGGCCTGAGCTCGAGGATCTAGGGCGCACTGACCCCAGTCGTGGTGTAGGAAGAGCAGGAGCATAAAGGCAGGAACACAGAAGGATGAGGGGAAGAGGGCTGCCCTCGGACAAGAGGTGCCTGGAGATGCGGGCAGACACCTGAAAAGGTGCAAAGAAAAGGACAGAATCTGCCTGAACTCTGCAACCAGTCTCAGATTCTCAGTCCTCTGGGCTGGGAGAGCTGCCCCTCATTGTGTGAGGACATGCACGAGCTTGTTTTCTGTTTGAGCTGAGGTTTTCCAGTTGTGCTTGCTGCCTGCCTACTGTGTCATCACTCACAGGAGCACATTTCAGTTCTTAGTGTGAGAAAGGGAGCTGTGATTCCTCTTTCCAAGCCAGTTGGGGAATTAAGTATTTCAAGATAGAGGTCCTTAAATGGTTGTTTTAAGGAAGCATGCTTATGAAAGATGCTGACAAGTGAGGTGATGCAATTCTCTACTTCTTCCCCCTTTGGAGATGACCTCAGAAGGTTCACGACTGAGAGACATCCTGTATATGGTGTCTGGCTGATGTCAAACCAGTGGAGTAAGACCTGGTGGTGGGCACTGAAGTCTCAAACTCCTGGGCATGTCTACAATGTCCTTGCAGCAAGATGAGGAAGCTGCCTGAATGCATTAGATCAACATCCTGGCTTCCAGAGACAGGCCTGCTCTCCTGCCAACACCCCAGCCGGAGGTAGAGAAACTTCTAATTGCTCATTTGAGAAGCATCCCCTCTGCCACCTCCCAATCCCTATCTCACTGTTCTCAAACCACTCACTTTAAACAAATTTCAACATTAGAAACAAATTAACAAAGCCATTCAATAGGCCATTTATTGAGCAAGTACTGTTGCCAGACATATAAGGATGCCTTCGGGTAAGGGCTTGACTACAGACTCCAGTTACCCAGATCTGAACTCTTCC